CCATAAGAAAAAAGACAATGAAAGCTGATGGACTTGGGGGGGGGAAGGGGATGGTCTTGAAGCGTACTGATTTCATGTAGCTATTACAGACAGAACTCATTGCTTGTCGGGCAACTTTTGACAATCTTTATGTTCTAGTAGAACATAATTTCTTTTTCTGTGTAACTCACTGAAAATAATGAGTGGTTTAGAGAGATGCTATTTCTCACTTGTAGACGTCTGGCTGAATTTCGCTGCAGCTCAGTAGTGGCATTACTTTCCAAAGGCTGTTTGATGATCATCACCTTGATTCCTGGTTCCCTGAAACAGCGCCACATGGAGATGCTCTGAAGAAGCTGATATTACTTGTGCTTAGTTAACCATCTCAAGAAATGCTGGTCAAGGTAGCTTAGTACTACCACACATTTTCTTTTCAGCATGAAGCATTTTGAGTGGCTCATCTAGATGCTTTGTCTCTATAATCTTGTGTCAACTCACTGTGACTATTTAGAAAGCTACAGATTCATAGTACAAAGACGCTTTTATTAAATCCCAATTTACTATTATACATAAAACCCTCAGTGTTAAAGTAGATTAATTTGAATACAGTTTGAACCATATCATTTTCTAAAAATACAGCAGATTAAGAAAACCCAGAGGCTGCCAAAACATCTAAACATACTTCAAGACTTGCTTAAAAAAAGGACTGCAGACCTTTCATGTCATTTAATCTTAAATAAAAATAAATACACTCAACAGTTGCTATGTCCTTCCATTTTAACTGCATCCAATCAAAAGCAGTTCTAAACATTAGCAAAGATCTTTAAACCAGCACCTGAATTTGCCTTTTTCTTGGCACTGCTGCTATACCAATGAATCCCAGACAGTGAGAGTCAGCAGGACTGTCAGCTGCCTCGAGTTAAACTATATAATCTATTCCATTTTCTGAATTATCCCATTAATGCAACAAAACATTTTTCTACCAGTGACAGACAAAACTCAATGACAACAGAATTCTCGCGATCCTGATTTTTCAAAAAGCTTTCAAGAAAGTTTTCTGAAGTCGTTTCTCACATTCTGCACTAAAGACATCTTCGGGAATAGCTGTTTACCCAAGAAAAAGCCAATGTACATATTTAACTTCAAAAAACACTCTAGTTATTCGTCTACATAGTGGTATTTTATCCACCAAGCATCACAAAACATAAGTACCATTGCTGTACAGGATGAGTGCCTAGCATAAAGTAGTATATAATAAATAGCATTGAAATAAAAGTATACAAATTCCAGAGCTTCACAAAACAAGTCCATTATGTGCACCTTGTCAGGAGGGAATGCTACTTCAAGGTATGTAACAGAACAGGTGAGATGTGTCTTCCTTTGGTATATTTGAAGGGTAAGAAGCGTGAGGAACGATGGATTACAGTCTATAGGTACTATCCAGCCCTGTATGACAGGATTATTCTTCATTTCCAAAGTGGACAGTTCCTCATTTCCTTAATAAATGCAGTTAAAACAAAGAAAGCTCTTACATTTACAGAACTACTTCGAGAACAAGAATTTTTTCCCTTTCCTACCATCCCCTCCAACATTAAAGAGGACCACTTGTCAACAGCAGCAGTGGAAGGGAAATGAACAATGTTATGATACTTGATCTCTGAGGTCCACTTACACAGCCTGGCAAGTTGTATGCCAAAACCCAGGGGTGCTGACAATGTGGTCCTTCTGGAAACGCAGGTGCCCACGACAGCTTGCTTGCCGCAGTTCAGAGCGGCGGGCACCAGGCTTAGTCCCTGCATTCCATATTGCACCCCCCTCAAAAAATTAAAAAGTATCAGAAATACTGACCAAATTCCATGCCAAAACACATGCCAGCTTAATTTCTCATGGCTAGTCATGTCCATGTAAGGAGACCTGCAAAAGTCGCAGGTTTTTGTTTCAATCACAGAAGAGCAAAACAGAGACAAATGCTATAGACAACTGCTTTCGACTTCCAAATGTTTTCAAACACCTTTGCTGCTATAAAAAAAGACAAAGCCCTTGTCAGCTGCCATTCAGAACTCCCTAACTTCACTCCTTAAGAAGCCTTTACGTTGTTACACATCCCTCTGTTATAAAGACTTCCAGCCTTGCCAAAAATTTACATTAATACCAACTTATTCCAAGCTTTCCTGGTCTTCTTCAGAATTTAGTTCTGAACACAACTTCATACCAAAGGGTGGAGGAGGAGGAGTGGGGAAGAAACACCTTCCTCCACAAATTAAGGTATGGTCTCCAAACTTGTCAATAAAGAGCATGCAAAGGTATCATGACGGTCAGGTTGGTTCCTTCCCAACATGAACCTTTTAAGTCCTTTCAGTTTCAGCAGTTCCGCACAGAGACTTTTCAATAATCTTCTGTTAAACTTCAATATAACAAAAGTGTGCCTAACTGGAATCTCTTAACACCCTCCCGCGAGTCATTCGCATTTAAAAAATGGGTACCATAAAGCTTTTGTATTGTTCAAGCAATTTTTCGTAAGAGTCAGTACAAAAATTTGTGCAGTACTGAACACCCTTAATTTCCAGTTGCGTACCTGCGGGGACTGTTGCTGGCCCAGATGCTCTCCCCCTTCTCCTACAGCTTCTTACTCCAGCAGCTGATTGATTGCACCTGTTTCACTTTATTTGTTCTTGGTTCCTTTCTTGATTTCTCCTCATCACTCTTCCTGAACAGCCACTCCACACTTTACTAATCAATCTGTCATTTTTTCACGGTATACAGTGTTGGAAGTAAGTGGTAAAGAACTTTTTCCACATTCCCCATCAGTTGCTGTTTTGGTTTGTCAAGCGTACAGATGATTACTTCCCCCGCCCTCCCTTCCGATCTCTTGAGTTTGTCACTGCAAGAAGTGGCCTTTCACTTGAAGAAAATATCAGAATTTGGGCATGGCATTGTCAAGTCATCACCGATTTTGTCATACCTGGGGCTTCACTTGCTCCCTCCAGAGACTCATTTAGGTTGTCCCAGTATACAGAGTAGAAGTTCTCATCAGCAAGAAGACTTAAACTCTAATTTTTTGGTATTTCAGCTCAGAAAGACAGTTCTGGCACACTCGTGATACCTTCAGAGTGGGATCAACATTTAAGGGAAATAAAGTTTGAAACAGATGCATAACAGTCACATTTATATACGCATTTCTTTTAATTGCGCTGATCAGTTGAAATGTGGAAGCATTTCAGCAGGCCAGCCTTCTAGAAGTTCACTATTACGCATGGCTTATTTACAACAAATACATCAAAGAAAACAAGTGACCATGGATATTTTCTACTGAACGTACAATAGAATAAAAGCTTCAAGTAGCAGAGAAGTGTTTCAGCACAACTTCTGCCTTCCAGCATTTTTTTGCAGTGTACTGAGTACTAACAGAAAGAATGCAAGAGCAGCTACAGGAAAATAAATTCACCGCTGCCATGATTCAATACCCACATATTAGACACTGCCGTTTTGCGTATGTGAAGTGTAACAGCAATCACAACGTAAATCTACACCTTGTCACGTTCAGCAGCGCAAGTCATAAAAGATCTGTGAATTTTAGCACATTACACAGAATCTGAGAGTAGTTAGAATAAAAACATAGTTTAGGCTAGAACAGATAAAAGAGTCTCCCAGTTAAACCGCACAATATACTGCATATCCCCATGTACTGCAGGCCTCCAAAATGAACTTTGGAGAAATCAGGTAATCTTTTTTATTTTTATGCAACCTTTGTTTTCTAGATGGACAGGCTTCTTGATGTTGCAAGATACAAAAGACCTACTCTAACAGGAGAAAGAGGTCCGCGGATACTGTTGTAATACAACTACTCATCAGCATTGAAGAGCTCAAACCTCTGACATATTTTTCACTTCAAAGTCATTAAAAATGCTTTTAGGAGTAGACGATAGTATCAGTTGTTTATGACAATGGCACCTGCGAATCTGTCAGCTCCTCCAGATTGTAAAAGAGTTACAGCTTTCCCATTTCATTAAAAACAGCTGATTAGTTCCAGGCCTCATCTCACCTGGAGTACTGTCATAAAGACCATGTTCACCTGCAGCCACAAGATTATTCTACACACCTGTTCACACGGGCCAGTATTTTTCCTTAATGATAAAAAAAGTGTCAGGAAACTAGTCCTATACCTGCAGAAGCAGGAAATACTTTAGGTCTCACAGTTAGATCCCCCTCCAAAAAACACAAGCTTTAGCCAAGCAGGATAAGAAGATATAGACAGAAAAAAAGGAGGAGGAAACCAGCTCAGCAAGAGTCCCTCTTCTTCCACACACTGTGTGGATGAAAGAGAACTAGACAAAGAATGAGGCATTGTTCCACAATTACGTACAGAATTCTTTACGTAAGTGAATCAAATTCTCATTTTTGGTCAGCCTTCACTGCAAGTGTTCAGACAACTCTACTGGTGATCATAACCCTGATAACACTGCACGGGCTAAGAGAAAGGGAGTTTATCCAGGCCAGGTTGATGTTCCTTAGCCCAAGAAAGTAGGCAGGACCCCACGTAAGAAATGCTGTTTTTAAGAGAGGCTTCAAATCCAATCTTCTCCCATTTCTGGATTTTCAGAAAACCACACAACTTGCACAAATTCCCTCTACCTTTCAGCCACCTACAAGAACAAAACTATTTTGCCCAGATTCCCCATACCATTACGCCCACTAAGTTTCAAAGACAAAGTTCATTAGGTATGGCTGACTGTTGGAGTATCTGAAAGGAAAGACTCACGCAGAGAACAGCTATTTTACACACTTAAGGGTATTGGTGTTATTATGACTCTGTCTGGGCATACCTGCAGAATTAGTGGACACCAATGAGGCTTTAAGAAATTTTGTTGGGGTTCCCCCCCCACCCCCAAAGTGCTTTCATCCCCACGTTCGGCTGCCACTGTTAGTAACAACATGGGTTCTACGTCTTGGCCCTCCTAAAAGTAACTTCAGACTGAGAACACAGAACGGTCTATCTTTAAAAAGATTCACATTTTACTTACCATCACTTTCGCTCTTACTTTTTAAGTCTTCCATCCATGTTGGAATATTTTTCAATGCAACATAATCCCTTAAGTACTCTTTGCGTCTTTCTTCCAAGGTCATCTTCAGCAAACGCTCTGTTTAGGGGAAAGAGAAATAAAAAGATTTTTGCAAGCTTTCATATATTCTTGCACACCAGCCAAGTAGTGACCAATTCAGTGTCCTTGATGCAATTAAATCCCATTTAAGAGAACCAAGCATGGGTGATTCAATGAGTTACAAGCAATAGGAGCTAAACACGGTGCATCTAAACAACTGCATGTGCCTATTTCTGGATATCCCAGTTCAGCAAAAAGAAACGCCTCTTCACCGCACTTTCAGCTGTCCAGACTTCCTCCCCGCATCGCTACTGTGCCTCATCTTCCTGCCACTTGAATTCAAGGATCAGAGAACTAACAGCAACTTTATTAAGTATGGAATTGTTGCTTTATAGGAAGTTTTCAAGTATTAAAGTCTATTCCTTAGGTTCTGCATTCGTAAACTAGAACTTTAAAAAAAAAAAGTTAGGTAGATCAAAACTGAAACATTTTTACTGTAACGACTTGACCAATGCCAGCATGTAAAGGCAGGAGCATGGCACAAAATTAACAAAGTGCTAGTACATTACAAAATAAACTACAGCTAAAGCAAACGTTACGTCACTATCTAGATGGCTGGGGTGATAAGAAAGGCATTTTTGTTTGGTTCGGTTTTTTTGTTCTGCAAACAATGTGATTTTCAGCATGAGAAACCCGCTGTCATTTGCTTTAGACACATCCAGTGGCATTTAATCCCATTTTGGGCCAAAAACGAGTAGCTGTAGAAAATACTAGGACATCTGTTAGATACCCAAGAGTAAGTAATACAAGTGTGTAAGTTTCACAGACTTTGATTGAACATAATCCCAAATGCTAGGAAAACCCTCTGCCATCCACGGGCGAAACATGTTTCTAAAAAGCAGACCAGGACCAGCATGAACTGCATCTGCTGGATTTAAAGTGCTGCAAAACAGAACCTGGGTTTAAAACGAGCGGCACGGGTTAAGCTTTAGAGATTTTTATTTGAGCATTAATATGACACACTTGGTTACCACACTAAAACACATATGGATGGTTGTTTTCTCCTGAGAAAGTCACCATGTCTTTTTTCAGACATTTAATGAAAAGTAAAGTCTCAAAGATTGTACAACTGTGACGGCTACTGCCAACTTCACTCTTCCTCAGACTTTGCTATAAATGGACTAAGTTCAAAGATAAGAAAAAAAACACCCCAACGACCCAACACTGCAAACAAACCTGGCGCTTCAGCAAGGCCCTGTGAACGATTTTTGCAGTCACGTCCTCTTCTCCCTCCCCACCTCATCAATGCTTAGTATTAGTTCAGCACAAGATGCAGAGCTTTTCCCCTTCCAAAAGTGAGGGGTGGAAAACAAACCGTCGAGCATATCAGGATGCCCATAGGCTAATCAAGTTCCTGGGTCTGTTTTTACCAGTGGCACTGTACTACTATTACCATACTAATAGTTTTTCTTGGCACATTAATCAGTAATAAATGCTCGTTGATGATTCAAGAGTTTTTAGGGGTGGAGGGAAGGGCTAGACCCATATTATTTGCCTTTGGCATAAAGGACTAGATGGACATGAAAAGAATATTTTCATCTCAAGTTGAAGGAGCAGTGAGCAAGTTGAACATGGAAACTGCTCCTCAGATCAAACCTTAAAAAAAAAAGGAAGAAAGAAAATCAGAAAGAAAATCACTGTCACAGGATTTTGCGGGTTTGTTTTTTTTGGTTGTTTTTTTTTGGTTTTTTTTTCAAAATAAAGTTTCCTTATTATTCAGGCTGCAATCAGCACAGTCCAATAACCAAAGGCAGGTTTTGAGCACAGACTCCCTTATCAAATTAAGTTTATTTTGATATTTTTGACAATATTGCCCATTTCTTCAGTTGAGAAAGACATTTCTCTCCCATTATTCAGGCTTGGTATCTTAACTAGATATTTACAAATGCAAAAGTAAAGCTGATGTGATGAGGATCGCCATTATGCATAACAGATAGGCACTTAACTCCACTACTTGATCTCCAAGCATACAAAACACCAAGTATTTAATGTGCACGTTAGAAGTACTACAGAAAGGCAAACCCGAGAGAGCGTGCCTTTCTGCATGTTAGGTTTGGGGCACTGACAAGCAGAGAAATTGTGACTGCCTTTTGCTGAAGGGGCAGCGGAGGCAGTTCTGTGCCTTCAAAACACAAGTTCCTCTCTATAGTAAAGTTTTATTAAACTTTGTTCTTGTGAGTCAGCAGTGAGAATTTAAACTGAGTCTTAATTATACAGAAACCTCCTGGAAGATGCTTCCAACAGCCTTAGCTGCAAGTACAGTTTTCTGCTTTATGAAGTGCCTTTGAAAGTTTGCAGGCAGACCAGTCCTGTGTCTAAGCCTCTGAAATCAACTCCAGTCCTGCTCCTACTCTCTTTCAGCTGTCCTCAAGCAAGATCCACCCTGGGAGAACGTAGACCAACCCTTAATTACCAAGAAAGTAATTAAGAAAAGCCAGCGTATTATCAGTGGGTTTGAACTCGATATTTAGCAATCAGTGCTTTCTCTTTTTAAAAAGAAAGGTCTTCAGAATATAAAAGGCTGAGAACGGTTGCACTCAGAGCTTTGTGGGAAGAGCAGAACCTGTGAGCACAGCCAGCTTTACAGGGGGGTGGGGGTACCTGGGAAAGGCAAATGCAGACCGAACAAAAGAGTTAATTTCAAAAGTACAATCTGGGTAGGAAGGAAAGAAGTTGGGCTTCTATCATTTTCCTCTCTAGTAAAGAAGGTACTCGGTAAAAACAGTCACACAGGGCTACAAGCTGAAGAGCAATGCCAACAATAAATGCAGAAGTTTTTTCTGCCCTCCTCACTCAAAATACCCAGGGCCAGCACCGTCAGCATGGTGGTGGAAAGCAGTTACTGAAGCAAAAGACTGGCAAATGCTGTTCATTCTCACTAGGCAAAGAGACACCGAGTTCTGGCCAGCTAGCACTCACAAAGATGCTTCCCTGGATAGGAAAATCTCACCAGCAGCTCTGGTTTGCATTCAGCAACATCACCATACTGATGGAGGCCACCATCCTCACAGCTGACTAAGACAACGAAAGGATGCCTGCATCTCGGGTTTCCAAGCCCCTCCACTGGACCCTCCTTACCGAGGGTTTGAGTTCACAGGGCAGGCTATGAATTTGCACTGACAGCAGAGGAGCTGGAAGAGACAAGTGGGAGTAACGGGAACACTCACCAGAGCCTACCAAAAACCTTTCCCCATCTGCCCCCAGCACAAACACAGCATTTTTTGAAGTTAACATACAGCATTAAGAATTTGTACAGGGAAAAGTCAGTTATAGTCGACCCCATGTAAGCAATGCCTGAGAAGATTTAACTGTATCTTCTCTGTCAAAAACAGAAACTTAGATGTCTGGTAGAAATTTGTTGCCTCACCTTGACTACAGAAACATGCTTTGTAAGACAGTTTTGAAGGAAAAGAGTATGCAAGAAAACTCACTTCCTTTGAGAAGAGTTTGACAGGAGCAGCTAACCTACAGAGAGATCAATTTAGTTGTGTTTTAACATTTTTTTGCTTAGAAACGAGCACTTGATTTCTGCCACTAACAAAAAGGATGAATCCTATCCTTCGAACTAGTCTTCTGCCTTCCTGGCTTGAAAAACACACGCAGTCATAGAGGTAATGGAAGACAAGAAAGAAAACTTAAAATATGACCGGCTGGTGTGTTTTTGTTTTTCTTCCTCCCCTCCTTGTATATTTCCAGATTATTTGTAAACACACCAGGCAAGAAGGCTCCTAGGCGATGTAAATATTATACCTCCACTGTGTGAATTTCTCTTAATATTTACATTCCTCTCCATGTGATCAACATAAAAGTATCAAAATGGCAAAGTCTGCGTGAAATGCTTGTCCCACGGTTTTCATGCTCTGGAGTTTGACACTGGGGGTGTTTCAAACCTAAACTACACAGGGTGGGGAGTCCTAAAAAAAATTTTAAAAATTAAAAAAAGGAGGAAATATTTCTTATTTGGGGGGGGGGGTGTGGTGTGGTGTGTGCTTTGAAAGCCCCCATAACCCAAACATTTCACCCCAGCTGGCCAACACTAGAAGCTAAACTCAGGTGCATTACACCAGCGATACCAATAAACCATAATTTTCCTGGAAAACACAGGCATTAAAATAAAGAAAAGATACGTTTCGACGGCATGTGCCTAACTTTTCGGCCTGAAATACTTCCACAAGGTGACTCGGGGGCGGGAAGCCCTCAGGAGAGGGGTTGTTCCCCTCCCGCCCCCCTCAGCCCCAGGGCCCCTCTCCTCACGGGCAAAGTCAGTCAGCGATAACCGAGGTGGGGGGAAACACCCCCAAATCCCGCACACCCGGGGTCCCCCCCCGCCTCTCGGTAGCCCCGGGGGGGGGGGGGGGGGGGGTGGGGGGGGTTTGGGGGGGGTTTACGG